GGGGGGGGGGTACTCTTGTTTTGCATGCCTTAGCGGTTAGAACATTGACCACGCGACCTCGAAAGGATGGAGCACTGTTTCCACAGGACCGATCACCGATGGCCAATCGTCCTTTCCTACTTTGCCGAAGGGAGGGAGGGGGGTTGGGTACTCATGTTTTGCATACCTAAGCTATTAAGACCATTGACCACGCGACTTCGAAGGGGGGGCGTTCTGATTTGTTGCTTCGCATCAAAGCACTAATATCTGGACCATTGAGCAAGACGCACCGCTTCTAGGTGGAGCATCGCAGGGGAGGGGGAGGGGGTTAGACCCCTTCCGCTCACCACGCGCCACACACAACCCGGAGCGTTCAGGTCGGCCCTTGCAGGCCGGTGCACCACAAACAACAAACGCGGGTGCATCGCACAAGGTGGGTCCATACTTGCCGCAACTGGAGTGTCCATACTTGCCTCAACTGGAGTGTCCATACTTGCCGCAACTGGAGTGTTGTAGTAATAGTAGTGTTGCTCATGTGCACTCACGCATGACGTATCTGACACGATTCGATGTTTGCCTGCCCCCTATCGCTGTTGCTACGGGGCATCCCCAGACGTCCCCAGACGTCGGTAGGCTGACCGTGATCAATTCATCTCTGAGCGGGCACAACGGGACACAACGTGGCCGGTCAACGTCCGCGCCATGGAGTTCGCAGTGGAGCCACCATTGCCACACTCGCAAAAATTCACCCACATCGTCAGTAGCTCGTGGCTCAGTCGCCGAGAGTAGACCCAGCTTGGTCAAAAGCCGTAATTCCACCTTTAGGGAATGACCAAATGCGGGGTGCATGAAAAACAAAACTCTAGACACGATCGATGGCTTCTACTCACCCCAGCGATGTGGTTGAGCTGGTGAAGAAAGTGGCGACCGGGCATGACATCGTCGTCGATGACCCACACGTACCTTGCGAGAGGGGACCGGCGGAACGGGACGCACATGCAGGGATCGGGAGAGCGACAGAGTGGGTTGAGACGGGGGGGGGGGGGGGGGGGGTCCCAACCTTGGGCTTTAACCCCCCCAGGTTTCCCCCCCAACTTCCCCGGAAAAAAAAGGTTTTTCTCTTTCCACCCCGGCCCGCACCCCAAAAAAAAAAAACCAAAAATAAAACGGGGGGCGGGGGAATTTGGGGCCCCAACAAAAAAAAAAAAAAAAAAAAAAAAAAAAAAA